TTTACGGCATATAAAAAGTGGTTGCAATTACCTTTGCGACCACTTTTGCAACCATACTTATTCCTTTTTTGGATTACTGCACTAGTCTTTACTTCTTATGGTCTTTTGGCTCCTTTTACACTGTAGAATTATAAAATATTTTTCAAAGCATAAAGTTATGTAAAAAAAGTTTAATGAGAAATAAGTAATAGAAATATATTTACTTTTTTTGAATGTTTGAAAGTGTTATTCATCTAACTTCCTAACCATTCACATTACTTTGGTAGTATATAGAATAAAGGTAGGGAAATCAAAGGCATGTAAAGTTATATTATCAGCGACGTCATGATTTATATATGTTGTGAAACTAATGCCGATCATTTTATAAAATTAAACACCCGCGCTTTTTTGATTGCCATTTTTAGATCCTTTTTGTTTGTAATGTTATTATTTTTTAATAATAAGCTCTAACGTTTCTCAATAGACAGCCAACACAAGATAACTCCTATCGAGATTAATATAAACGTCTAACAAAACCAGGATTGACAATGTCAGTTAGTGTATTAGTTATATATGAGAAAATGAAAAAATAAACTTACATACAGTTTTAGATGGTGATGTTTGTGGTATGGTATTAAGATGGAATTGAATATCATTAACATGCTCAAAGACAAATACACAGTATTAGGTTTCCATAATAAGGATGTAATGATGCAAAATAAGATGAAGATATGATTAATTAACCCATTAGATCTCAAATGGAGAAATTAAGTATCAACAATGCAAAAATCTAATACAGTAAATTGGTTGCAACTGAAAAGCAAATGGTGTGTACACACATAAAGAAGTGATGGAGCAGTTCATTTTCAAAATGTGAGGAATATCTATAGATGAAGTGGTTAAATGTAAGAACGGCTATAATAAAATATGGACAGATACTATCAACCCCTCACAGATAAAAATACTATCAATTTTCAAAAATATTGACAAAACTCATGAAAAAAATTAGAAAACTCATTTGGAGAATTTTGTGCAGGAAAAAATAAGATCTATTGTTGCTGCTATGAGCTCAAATTACCCCAATGTTCACCTTGTGCTTAGCATAATCATTAAAAGAAAAATAATACTTGTATTTGATGACACACAATGTATAGTGAGGCATGTTTTAATATTAATGAAAACAGAAAAAAATTGAAAACAATTTTTTTATGGTGGCTTTGTTATGAATATATCAAATTCATCACTATTGAATTCAGATAATAAATTAGTTGGTGTCATGCACTTAGTTAAAGCAGAGTTAGCACTCCTATTGGACTGAACACATCCAAGTCCAATGCATCATTGGACATATCAATGGACGTAATATGATTGTGCCATAAATTTGTAAAAAATTTTTTGATTAATGAAAATATTAAAATAAAAATTTTGGTTTTATTATCTAGAGTTTTGGATAAGGTGGTGTGGGGAGTTCTTTTACAAATAAACTACTTGAATTCCGTTTTACACTGTTGTCATCTCCAGGATGAACATTATTAGCAAAGAATTGATAAAATAAACATCAATGTCAACATTTAAAAACTTTCTTCATTTAAGATTGTTAGGTTCAGAATATTTTCATATTGATATTCTGACCTAAAATGTGGACAACTCCTAAGATGTCTTCTTTTTGTATTAGTGAACTTATTAGCAATTGAACCTTCATAACCAAGCATATTTTTACATGGATAGCAAATTGAAAACTTATTTGACTTGCTTGCCTGTTCATTTAAAACCATTACTTATGGTGTCAAGCAATGCTTTGGTTTTCCACCAGAATGTGTCATTTTAAGATATTTTTTATTTAGGTAATGATTTACATAAATGGACCAACAAAGCTGCGCAAAAATTACCCATGGACAACTTGGACATATATGTCTAATGGTCCAATGAGAAGGTCATTGGATAACTCTGGGTTAAAGAGTTGTCAGTAAAAACAAAAAATCAAGTTAGTATTGTAAAATCATCTTCAACTTTGAAGAAAGAGCCAATACAAAAAGTGGATAAATTGATTGATAACAAGCATATTTTTTATTCACTGCTTATTAAACGAACAGAAAAGTTTCATGGTGGTTTTTATTTTGGTTTCATGGTTGTTGTACAAATTAATTTGCAAAAAAGACAATTCCATTACTCTGGTTTAGATACGTACAAAAGTGTTAGGATTTCAAAACTGGAAATTTAAAAATTATTGAATACAAAATATTTAATTAGATGATGATTGATGTCGAAATATGTGGCTCGATTGACAATTAGACAGCAACAATATTCTCTTTATTTTAAAAATAGCATGTACGCGAGCTTAAAAGGTTTTGTGGAAAACAAAATCTGAGACAATGGAAAAAACCAAAGGGATTAATTTAAAATAGAAGCCTTTAATTACGTGTAAATTTGTACACCATCTGACTGCTACTACCAAAGATACATGTTTGCTGGCTTAATTATAATGGCGATATATTATAAACAGTTCCGCTGTAAATATAAATTAATCGAAAGCAAAGTATCAAGCACGAACAATAGACCCTCTCCATACGATAAGAAATAAGAGTGGAATCACACAGATATGAATCATTTCGTAGTTATGTATGTTAAGCTAATTAGAAACATGATCGATGAAGATAAAACAGACCATAAAATTAAAAATTTGAACCCCTTTTTTTACAATGTATAAGCTGCAGTTTCAAATAAATAAGCGTTTATATATTAATATGTATTTTTGTTTCCGTATATAGATAATTAGATAAAAAGGTTCATGTGGCATAATCGATAACAACAAACAACTTATAAAAAAAAAATTGCCAACTAAATTTGCTAAAGCTAATTAATGAAACAATCTTTTTTCCGTAATAAATATCTCAACATGTCCAAGGACTACTGTTATCGAAAAAAAAATTTTTTTTTTGTGAAATAACTAATGAATTATTAGCTTGAAGCAATCAATTGATTTGATCGATAATGACAAAACAAATGACAATAAAGAAGAAAATGTGTTTCCCTTATAAAATGTGTTTCCCACTCTCAGTGCATAAAACACAATGTTTAACCTTGTCATACATGACCGTAACCATAGACGAAAATATGTTTGTCCCGGGACAAATCTATGTCGCAATGAGTAGGCTTCTTCCTGAGATTCTACAGGAATATTATGATTGTTTAAAAATTGATAGGGTGTCGTAAAAGATTAATGTGATCAATCAAGTAGGTTCAGGTCAGTTGGTCAGACGAAATCAATCCTGTACTTAATAATGATAATAAATAGTAAAAGCTCATATTGCACTCCTCCCACTCGTAAACTTGTTAATATTTAACATTTTGAAAAGAGAAAAGAGCGTAGCAAAAAAAAAATATGAAACGAGCAATGTTAAATCTAGCACATAGACACGCAATTGCCAACTTGCATTTTTGAATTATACATTATTTGTAATAAGTTTTTAAAACAAACAAAATATGATAAGGTAGAAATTGTGTTCCTATTATTTTTATTTGTTGAATGTTCATGATTTCCTTGATTAGATTATCTAATACTAAGAAATAAATGTTACCTGACTAATATAGTGCTTTCTATTTATATTTTTTTTAATA